TCTCTCTCTCTCTCTCTCTCTCTCTCTCTCTCTCTCTCTCTCTCTCTATACCTCTACCTCTACCTCTACCCCTCTACCTCTACCTCTACCTCACAGGGTTGTTTTGTTGGGAAGATAGGAGGAGGAAGAAGTATTATGTTTGTCCTCTGCCTTGAGTTAGTTATAAAAGTAATAAAGGCAGGGTAGGAAATCTAAAATAAAATTAAAATTAAAAAACAAACAAACATCTGGCTGTTCAGAATGGCTTGAGAAGGTTTTGAAGAAGAGGTTGGATAACCAAGTCTGAAGTGGTACACACGGTTTCCTTCCTAAGCAGGGGGTTGGACTAGAAGACCTCCAAGGTCCCTTCCAGCTCTGTTATTCCATTCTATTCTGAGTCTAACTGGTTTTCAGTTGTCCTAAGGTTTTGGCATCAGTCCAAAATGATTCCCTTTGTCAACAGATGGCACAGGTCTGATTGTGGAAATTGGATGAGGGCAGGAATGTTTCCAAAAACATGAATAGAAAGCACCAGCAAGAATGTTCTCAAATTGACCTGGCAAGCCTTGTTCTTGTCCACTTAGCCAAAAGTGTTTTGTTTTTTTTCCAGGCATAGAGACGCTTCTGTGTTACCTGGAATTACACCCCTGTCGCTGGGTGGAGCTGCTGCACCCCACTTTCTCTTCATGCCGGATTTCGTGCTATAAAGGCCCTCAGCAGCTGCGGATGGTTTCTCGAAGGTGAGGAAAGGAAGGAGGAGGGAAAGGATCAGGCCAGTAAGAGGAAATTCAGAAACAAGGCTCTTTGACAGCGGTGGCTCAAATCCACTGCTCCAGGTTGTCTTCAGCTCACAACCACCCTGGAGCCCAGAATCTCTGTTGGTAAGCAAGGCAGTTGTGAAGCGAATTTTGTCCCGTTTTACAAACTTTCTTGCCACCGCTGTTAAGTGAATCACTGCAGTTGCTAAGTTAGTAACGTGCATCGTTAAAGTGAATCATGTGACCCCCTGCAACCATCATAAATATGAACCACTTGCCAAGCGTCCGAATTTTGATCAGATGGCCATCGGGATGTTGCAAGGGTCGTATGTGTGAAAAATGGTCATAATTGTTGAGGTAATTCCCCTTTAGGAGAATGAGCGCATACAGGGAGACGTATAGAAAGTAGTGTTTGAATAATACACACACAATGCACAGATACACTGTACAATGCACAGATACACAATACACAGATACACTGTACAGTAGGTTTTTACTTCCGGAAAGTTTAAGCAAAGTTCAAGATAAGCAGTCCAAAGTCATTCATAGGTAAATCAGTCAGTTTTTCAATCCAGGGATAATCCAATAACAAATTCCAGTTCAAAAACAGTTCAGTATCAGACTTACATCAAATCCAGAAATAGCAGTCAATTAGGAAAAATGGAGGAACGGCAATACTTTCCAACAGAAGGAAACAGAGATACACTCACACTCTCTTCTGAGACTCAGACTAAGACAAACCAGGTTTCTGGCTCCATCTTATGGCCATTTGAGAAACCACACCTAATTACAGTTTTGCATTTTCTTAAAGATACAGTTTCAAAATGTTTATCCTGGTTTATATACTTCTAACCCAAATACCTGTTAGGTGACTTATATTCCGAACAATAATCCTCTCTTTTTCAGTGCCGTTGTAATTTTTAATGGTCACTAAATGAATCATTGTAAGTGTGAGGGCCATTATTTAATTTTGCAGGCCAAAAATTTAGCGCGCGGAGTTGTGGGTTCGGAATGTGAATGAGGATGATTCGTTGTAGCTGTCCAGAAAAGTTTAGTCATCTTAAAATGCCCAGCGTGCAATTTAAAACCATTGTAAACAACCACATAGCATAACAACCTGGACAAAAACAACCGTAATAAACACCAAACGCGACAGACTCTTTCTAGAACACCAGAGCACCCGTTTTACTGCAGGAGGGAGTTTTGCTGCAGTTGGGCATTTTGGCTTGACCATGATATTGCTGTTGTGTGCAAACATGCAGCCAAGAAGGCGCCTAGGTCAGACTTTTTAACCATTTCTCCTCCACCCTGGCAACATTTTTATCATTTGTTTTAGAGGTTTATAAGCCGTTCCAGTCAAAGCTGACTCTTTAGACCAGGCGTTCATTGCTGTCCATTTGTGGCAATGGCCAACCCCCAACCCCCGGTCCACGGACCAGCACTGAGCTATGGCATGCCAGCAACTGGTCCGCGCAAACAAGCAGAGCCCCATCTGCGAGATGCAGGCAGCACATGGAACCACATATCCCTCTGGTCCACGGAAAAACACTCAATGGAACTGGTCCCTGGTGCCCAAACGTTTGGGGGTTTTGCAGGTTGCCATATTTATTATTTTATTGGTCCGATTTAGAAACTGCCCGTCTCCTTCCCAGAGGGAGGTACCGTATTTCCCCGAAAATAAGACCGGGTCTTATATTAATTTTTGTCCCCACAAGATGCATTTTCCAGTTAGGGCTTATTTTGGGGGAGATACGGTAAATGCCTCCATCTAGCTGATGATCTTAACTGGGGCTTATTTGGGGGGGTAGGGCTTATATTATAAGCATCCTGAAAAATCCTGCTAGGGCTTTTTTTTTTTCAGTAAGCTCTTATTTTGGGGAAACATGGTATAGAAAAAGTATCGGTTTGTTTCATTTTCCTGCAGCCAAGTTTGGTTGGTAAGCCTAGAGGGTCGACTCCTTCCTTGTTGTCTCTCCCTGCCTCCAGATGCCCTCCGCTTGCGGTCTGCTTGGCCCAGCAGCGCCTGAAAGGGGTCAGAGCCACCCAGGACAGCTCTGTGGAGTTCGATGTCATTGCACTGGCCGATTCCATGGGCTGGGAGGTTCTGCCAGTCAAGCGCGCCCTACGACAGCTGCAGTGGAACACCTCATGGCAGAACGGTAAGCCGGCGGGGAGCTTGGTCAACTAACATGGAGTGGGAGGCTGTTGTGGGGAGAATTTTATCTGAGTTAGTTCTTGGTCATGGCCCATAAAAGAAGCACAGTCCCTGCGTAGTGTTTGTCACACATTCCTTACCTCTACGGCACTAGAGGTCTCCTTTGTGGTCAGTGAAATATCTCTGGAGATTCTCAATCATCGAGGTCATGGCGGTCCCAAAGGTGTTTTTTTCCCAAAAGGCCACTGGATTTCCTTGTTTTTTCTTTTTTTCATCTGGAAACGTTTCACTTCTCATCCAAGAAGCTTCTTCAGTTTTAACTGACCAGTGGGGAATGGAATGTCTGTGTTAAAATTATCTATCAATAAAGGAGAACATTTGTAGCTCGGGATTGAAATGAGGGGTCCTTGGTGCTTTCTGAACTTGATTTTCCTGCAGACATCTCATTACCCAACTAGGTAACATCATCAGTACTAGAAGGGAGTGGGGTTTATGGAGAAGAGGAGGAGGAGGAGTACTATGGGGTCCTTGTTGCTCTCTGAGCTGGCTTGTTTTCTTTCAGACCTTTCATGACCCAAACTAGGTGATATCATCAGTGTTAGCATGATTTCATTACCTGAGTTTGAGTCATGAAACGTCTGCAAAGAAACAAGCCAGTGTCAGAGAGCACCAAGGACTCTTCAAAATTATCTATGTTAAAATGGATCTGTGTTAAATTTGGATAGCCCTCTCTCAACAGAGGGGAGGGGTATGATACTACTGTCTCCTATTTACCAACTACGGTCCTTTCGGCAGTCCCAAGACATTTCCAGACCTGTTTGCACTCTTGATTCAGGCGACCCTGAAGATACAGATAAACCCCCAAGTGGCCTCAATGACTCTGAGTGCAAACGATCAGACGACTGTAAAGAATATAAATCCTTCCATCCCCCAACTAGTCAGTTAGAACCGAAGAAGCTTCTTGGATGAGAAGGAGAAAAAATGTCAAAGAAAAACCCCAAGAAAGTCTAGTTGCCTTTTTTTGGAAAAAAGCACCTTTAGGACTCACAGTCAGCTGCATTTCAGGGAGCATTTTTCCCCGCCGAGAGACAATGATTCAGAACATGCTGGAGGATCTGGGGATAGAATAGAATAACAGAGTTGGAAGGGACCTTGGAGGCCTTCTAGTCCAACCCGCTGCTTATGTCGAGACATTGTCCGCCATTTTTTGGTCTCCCTGCTCAGGTTCCCAAGGCTCCAGGAAGAGCGAGATCCTGGTGGAGTTCAGGGAGCTGTCTTTTCACCTGCGCTCCTACGGCGATCTCAGTGAGGATGAGCTGGACGGGGTGTGTGACTTCCTGCACCAGCGGGTCACGAGTCGAGAAAAGGCAGCCCTCCAGCAGCTCCAAGTCTGCTTCCAGGCTTTTCAGAGGTGGGCTGTTGCAGAGAAGGGCCTGTAAAAGCCCGCGAGAGGCTGAGTGGATTCTGACAAAATATGGACTTAACAACAGTTTATTAAATGTACATTCAAAGTTACAAGGTCACTGAAAAAAGTGACCATTGCAGCATCCCCATGGTCACGTGATTTATATTTGGAAGTTTGACAACTGACTCACAATTTAAAACTGCTGCAGTGTCTGTGATGACCCAAAGGGGCGTGGCACAAAGGCACACAGTCCGGTAAGCAAGAAGAGTCCCTTTATTTTCTCCAACTTTGCCCCCAATGTCCTGGTTACTTTCGGCTGGAGAAAGGCTCTCCAAGGAACAGCCTTTAAGTGGAGGAAACTCAGTCCAAAACAAGGGACACACAAACTGTAACTAAAATCCAAACAAACCACGCTGCAGTAATTAACTGGACAGGGCAGGAGAAGGAATTGCAGTCTTGAAAGCCCAGCAAAACACACAGAGTTGGGAAGACGCCAGGAACATAGATAAGCCTCGATGATACCAGAAATTCACGATTTGCTCCCAACAACTTGCTGTGTGCAGCTTCCCTTTTAAAACACTGTGCTCCCAGCTACAGCTAATGAAGGGAATCAGGGCCCTTTCCTCCCCCGTAAGCCATGCAACCCATATTGCTCCCTACTCCATTCCTCCCTGTGTGCCCTAGCCTAGGATGAAGAGGGGGTGGGCCTGGGTCTCCCTCTGAATTCCATCTGCCTTGTTCTATCTCTCCCCTGCTCTGCCCAGCTGGACTTTGCCCTTCCCCAGTTTCTTTTACAGTCATCAGAGCTGCTTGGCCTCCCTGTCAGCTGCTTGGCCTCCTTCTCCGAATCAGATTCCAACAGGGGCATGACCAGGGGTGGGATTCTACCAGTTGGCACCTATTCGGTAGAACCGGTTGTTAACATTCTGAGCAGTTCGGAGAACCGGTTGTTAGAAGAAATTGCTGGGCTAATCCTGTAAGGAAGGCAGGAAGGAAACATTCTGGTGTTGCTTACAGAAACTGCCCCTCCGTTAACCCTTATTACATTTTTGGCAGGACTAGACTTCCTGTCTCAGGAACTTTTCTGGAGTTTTTCCCCCCTCCTTTGCTGGTACTTTATTTGTGTGGAGTGACCATTCAAAGTTACAATGGCACTGAAAACAGTGACTTTATGACCCTTTTTCACCCTTACGACTGTTGCAGCATCCCCACAGTCATGAGAGGCCAGGCGAGGAGATGCGTGCCTTGATGTGAGTGATGTTGAGCTGACCACGCCCAGCCAGTCACATGACCACCCAGCCATGCCCACCAACTAAGCCACGCCCACAGAACCGGTTGTTAAAAAATTGAATCCCACCCCTGGGCATGACAGTGTCCCAGGGTCACGATTCCCCTTTTGCGAACTTCTGACAAGCAAACTCAACGGCAAAACCAGATTCGCTTAACAACTGTGTTACTAACTTGACCGCAACGATCCGCTTAGCAACCGTTGGCAAGAAAGGCTGTAAACCTTTGGGGCAAACCTCATTTGAACAAATGCCTTGCTTAGCAACAGAGATTTGGGGTTGTTAAGCGAATCTGGCTTCCCCATCGACTTCGCTTGTCAGAAGGTCACAAACGGGAATCCCATCACAACCAGGGACACTGCAGCCGTCATAAGTTACAAGTCAGTTGCCATAATGTCTGAACGTTGATCGTGTGATCCTGGGGATGGTCCTATAAAATATTAAAACCGGTTGTAAATCCCTTTTTCTTTCAGTGCCATTGTAACTTTGAACAGTCACTAAAAGAATCACCGTCAGTCGAGGACTACCTGTACGGCTGGACCTCCACTGGTCTCACCTCCCCTTGCGTGTCTGTCCTTCCACAGCGCGGCCTTCCCTACTTACGCCTCGTGCTGCGACCATGCAGACCAGGAGAGGAGCAGCCAGCTGAAGTCCCTGCTGGTGGCTTATTTTGAGAAGCAGCCAGTGCCGGATGAACCTTCCATGGGTGCAGAGCGTGGGGCTGATCACCTCCAGGACGCTCAGGTGAGAACATCCAGCTCTTGGTCTACAGCTCTTGGCGCCAAATCACGAATGCTGACAAGATTCTGGCCTCCTTGGCCTTCTGCAGGTTGGCGGCTGTGCTAAGGATCTGTGTGGTTTGTCTGCATGTGTTTCCTGATGCATATGAACGGCCCCCGAGGGGGGTGGTCGATCCAAGGGAAGAGATTTATTTATTTAGAGCAGGGGTGTCCAATCTTGGCAGCTGCACAACTTGTGGATTTCAACTTCCAGAATTCTTTAGCCAGCGTGGCTGATTGGGGAATTCTGGGAGTTGAAGTCCACCAGTCTCGGACAGAGTTGGAGTCTTCAAACTTGCCAAGGTTGGACACCCCTGGTTTAAAAGGCAGCTTTCTAGATGCCCCAAGCAGGCACCATTTGTGGAAATTCACTGCCTTTGCCTTGTGCATGTCCTGAAAAGCTTCTGAAACTTCACCGCCTCCGTCTGGTTTGATTACCCTTCTGTGTGTCGTCAGGCACTGCCGATATTGCCATTCCCTTTTAAATATTTGGACTCTCTCATATATTTTATATTACACATCTTAAGGATTTTTTTTTACATAATTTGACTCTTATTAAGCAGTACATTTTCACAGGGGAAAAAATGATTTCTTTTCCTGATGTCTTCTCAAATTCAATACCTTAATCGATTTAATCCTTGAAATTTCTGGTTAAAACGGTTAGGGAGCAGGTGACCAAACGTGCCTTTTTCTGTCTAACATCCTGCAGAGCTGTTATTAGGAGAAACTAATCTCTCTGCCCCTTGCTAAATGTTTTCCCAAAAATACGACCTACCCTGAAAGTAAGTCCTAGCTTGCAAAATAAGCCTTACCCCTCTAAAATAAGCCCTAACTAAGACCCGCTCACTCCAGAGTGCACAAGTAAAAATTAAGCTAGGAAGGGGTGGAGCTGCCCTACTACTTACCTGTGGACAGTTGTAGCCAGGCCTGGCACACCTCAACACCTGCCTTGCCAGCCCATTTCTTCTGCAGCCGGCAAGGCTGGCAAAGCTTTCCTGAAGGCCCCGAGAACAAAGCTCAGGATCGATCCAGAGCTCCCTTATTGGCTGCAGAGGCCTTCAGGAAAGCCTTGCTAGCTGCAGAAGAAGAAGTTCCTGAAGGCCTCTGACAGCGAAAAGGAGGCCAGGGGTGACGCATGCAAGTGAGGTTAGTCAGTGGAAGAGACATCCCCCGAAAATAAGACCTGGTGCCTTTTTTTTGGTGGCAAAAAAAAATATATGACAGGGTCTTATTTTCGGGGAAATAGTAACACACAAGGAATTTTCATTCAGAGGCCATAGTAAGCCACTTTCAGCATCCTATAGAAAAAGACATTCCTTTTCTGGAGAACAAGCTTGCTTGCTCTTCTCTACCTCTAATTGAAACTAGGGATAATTCCCCAACAATTTAAGGAGAGCCACTGCCAATCACAGTGAGTAATGTTTTGGCTAACATGCTACAAAAACTGCAGGCTAACTTGATGTAAAGCGGTGTCAAAGTCCAAATGAATATTCATGCATCTCTGTAAAATTTTACAGAGTGGCGCTGAAATTATGCAGGTGGTAAAAAGCCATCCTAGTTTAATTGGAGCAGCTTAAAGTCGGACTTGGTCGGAAACATTCATTCCCGGCGGCCTATTTTTAAGATTTAACAGCATTTGCACGAAAGCTGAAAACTTGGCCCTCCTCTGAAATTGTGCATTGCTACAGAGCCCCCTTAACGCTAATTTCACTTTCCCTGGAATTTTCTTCCCAATTACAGTTTCAGCAATGGGAACAGCAAATCCAAGGTGACATTCGCCACTTCCTCTCCATCCGTCAAGACGAAAAGTTCTCTGGCAGGGCTGTGGCTAGGATTTTCCATGGCATTGGTAAGCTTCCTCTAATAGGGAATCTGCCCTCTGCGGAATTACACAGAAATGCATAGGTCTCTTAGTGAGTTTTTGCTCAGTCTTTTTAACAAAAGGGTGAAGGCGATAATACTGTCACATGCATGTGGTTTTCTGGGCAACAATATAGAACTAGTTTGAAGGGTTGTTTTTTTTAATCCAGGACTAACAAGGTCCAATTTTTCTTGACTTATGAACTCATGTAAGGGGGGTTTGGGAGGGAACTCTGGAATGCAAGTGTGCTGTCTGGAAGCCAAACCCCAAGGCCATCATCGCCTGGGAATGTTCGAGGCAGACAGGTTGTTTCCAGAATGAAGGAGGTGCAACTGATTGGTGGACAATGGGAGGTCCAGAGGAGGAGAAGTTGTCCTATGCTGTTTGCATATGAAAGCGCCAGAGCTGGCTTTTCTACTTCTGCACCCCCATGGCTTTTCAGTAAAGTTATAGCCTTTGGAGAAAAAAGGTTCCAGAAATTTCTTTTGCTGTTTAATACAGTGGGATGGTTGACATAACTATACACCGATGCGCCCAAGAATGCTAGTGTAAAAGCTCACCTCTCTTTACTATAGCTTTGCTACTGCAGATCCCGGGTTAATTTTTGTCGCCGTGCTTGTTTCATTGCTTTGTTCTGCACAGGGAGTCCATGCTACCCAGCTCAGATTTATGGCCGAGACCGTCGCTTCTGGAGAAAGTACCTTCACTTTGACTTCCATAAGATTATGCGCTTGGCTACAGGGGAGATTGTCCGTTGGAAATGAATTGAGCTGGGCAGAATCTGAAGAGGCGAAGCTCCATCGCGCACAGCTGCTTGTTCCCTCACGGCTATGAAAAGGAAGATAGCCACCCTGCAAGCATTACATTTCCAGAAGGTCTCTGGCAGCCAGATTTCCCCCTGGGCTATTGTCCCATGCTTTCTACAAAGTAGGTGGAGGAACTGAAGAAAGCTCTCTTGGCCTAAACAGAAGTCGATCGGGTGTTCCTTTTTAAAATAAAATAAAATCTTAAATTCACTCCAAAAACATGAAATCCTACATATTTGGCAAAATCTCAAAAGAGCTTTCCTTCACCTCATGGCTTTCCCTTCCAGAATTCTGGCAATGATGGGGTTGGACTGAGGATTTAGGATAAGGCGTTGATTTATAGTCTTCGGTATTTTTTTGAAGAACCCATAGTTCCTCTTTCTGAGGAGAGTTAGAAATCTTGATTTGCCTTCTGACATTTGAACTGGACAATGAGCTCACATATTGCTTAACTACACCAGGCAGTATTAAGTGAAGACCTCTAAGTAAAAAGAGGAATGTTTTTGTACTGCACTATAGAATTTTCCCTGGCAAAACTCAGCCTGAATAAAGCAGATCTTTTTTACTTAATCTAACACATCACTTTTGCCTCTTCTGTTCTTTACTATATAAACAGCATGGAGTTTTAAAATAAGTTTAATCTTTCTCATTTGAGTGGGGCATTAAAGTTTTGTATAAAACTGGGCCAGGAAGGGGGAGGGAGGGTAAAGAGACTCATTCCTTGATATATTCTCTAAATCAGGAGTCGCCAACCTTTTGGACCTCAGGGCAGAGACCACCAAACTCATCATTTTAAATCCCACGGACCAGAGACCCTGGGATAATCCCCAAAAAAGTCTTCAGGAAAATCCATCGCCCCGTTTTCCTACCAATCGATCGTTCTTTATTTGGGATCGCAGGATACCGTCTCCAACTCTGTTCTTGGGGTGGGGAGAGAGAGACTTTTGGCTTCATGCAAGGAAAGCAGCAGAAGTCTTCCTTTCTCTCCCCCAAACTCCGCCAGAAATGAGTCTTTGTGGGACTTGTCGCACCAGCGCAGCCTCTTGGAGCAGGAGGCCTTGCAGGCTCCCAAAGACTCATCTCTGGCGGAGTTTGGGGGAGAGAAAGAGATTTTTGCTGCTTTCCTTACATGCAGCCAAAAGCAGAAGATGAAAGAAGCGGAAAGGAGCAGCCCGATGGCCAGGCCAGGCACAGGGGGTGAGTGGGGCAAGTTCCCCCTCCTCCGCCCTTTCCCCCCTCCCCTTACTACCTCATGTTCGCAACGCAAGCGACGCAAGCCTTGTGTTCCCGTGGGCCTTGTGGGTGGCACAGCCTTGTGTTCCCGCTTGGGGGGTGACGTTTCTCTGTGGACCACCAAAATTTTATCACAGCCCACCGGTTGGCGGGTTGGCGACCACTGCTCTAAATCACACAATCTGAGAGCTGGAAAAGGTCTTTTGAGGTCATGGAGCCCAACCCCTTGCTGGTTGCAGGAATTAAAGCATTCCTAACACAGCCCCATCCCCACCCCTTAGCCATGGCTTTCACTATTCCAGTTTTAAGTCGTTATGTCCCTAAAGTTGACTTTTCCATATGTTGAAAGGCTGGAAAATGCCTTTCTTCTGAGGATTCGATTTTCCTGCTGGGAATACTCTGGTGCAAGGATTCAGACAGCTACTTGGAAGCCAGGTTTATTTTATTTTTCAGGAAGGCGAGAGATAGCAAGAAGTCTGCGTTCCTGGAGCTAGCTCTCTTTGTATAATAAACCCCTGAATTTTATACTTTTTCTCCTTTTGTGTGTGAGTGCTTGTGTTTGTATTTCTTAATGTTTTAAATCCTGTCAGGGGTTGTCTTCATTTCTGCCAGAGGGTAAACTCTGTGGGGTGCAGAAGGCAAACTTTGCAGGGTAGTTTGATTGGATTATCAGTTTCCTAATGTTTTCTTATATTTGTTTTGTGGCAATCTCCTGTCTTTTGTCTATTTGTTTTGCTGATTTGGCATGACCTGTTGTTTGTAAGGGATTTCTTTTTCTTGTTTCCCTAGCTTTCTTAATTACTTGGCTTTTGTCTAGGGGGCTTCTTTCAATACCTTTTATTAAATCTCTTTTCCTATGCAAGTTTGTTTTATGGCTGGCCTGATGTTCCCTTTGGGTTTTTCCTGCTTGGGTGTCACCACTGTCCTCATGAAGTTCCCTTTCCACACATAACTCCAGTGAGGATGTTAAGGGCTACCTGTTCTTCACTCACCC